AAAGAGGCCCCCCCGAGGCACCCAAGACGCCGAAAAGCCCCTCAGGACGACCCTCTACTCGCCTGGGCGTCGTTTCTGGACGGGCTGGTGGGGATACGCGAAGCGCTAGAATATTTACCTCTCTCACTCTATCTCTCTACATCTCTCTCTCTCTTTCTCTCTTTCGCGACAGCCGGCCCAGGCTGTCCCCCTCCACTCTCCGTCCCCTCCACTGCCCCGATCCCTCCCTCGCCGCCTTCTGGCCCAATCGGTCCCGATCCCCCCCCCACAGTTACACAGTGTGAGTTCTCTAGTTTTCTCTTCTCTCTCTATCTCTTTCTCTCTCTCTCTCTCTCTCTCTCCTTCTCTGTACCTCTCTCTCTCTCTGTGTTTTTTCTCTCTCTCTCTCTTTGTTTTTCTCTCTCTCTCTCTCTCTCTTTCTCTGTAGTCCTCCTGATGCTGTTTTCCTTTGCGCCCGCCTATCTCGTATAGCGTTTTTTGCACACCAGACTGTGCCAAATTGACTGTCGATGGCTTGTTCTAATCACGGCGTCACCGGTCTGTCAATAGTGGTACTTCCGCGGCAGCGCTTGCCACATGTATCAATCTTCAGAGAGCCTCCATCCAAGTGAACGACACTCTCGCCGCAGCGCTGGCCGAACTCTTGCATCCGTGAAAACAGCGATCCCGCTGCAGGGTGGCCGCATGTACGAATTCCCATCGATCTCTGGTCCACGGAGACGACGCTCGCGTCGCAGCGCTGGCCGTATCCCGCATCAGCCCGAGCGGCGTTTTCACTGCTGCGTGCGCCACGTATTACGATATCCATAGAGACTCCATCCAATGAAAAGATGCCCTCACCGCAGCGCTGACAGTTCTACCTGCATCAGCACGCGGTGCTCCCGCTGCAACATATGCCACACTGATTTCTAGAAAGCCTCCGTCCAACGACGCAACAGCGCGCTCTCTCTCTCTCTCTCTCCCTCTCTTTGCGGCGCTGGCCGCCCCCCTGCGTCGGCATGTGCGCTGTCTCCCCTGACCGGCTCTGGCGTGCCGTGCTCTGCTACGGGAGAAGCCGGGTGTCGGGAAAGACCGTGGGGATCAAAGATAATCCCGACACCCGACTCTGCGCATAGAGAGGGATTCAACGCCCGGTTCTGCGCATAGAGGGGCCAAGTCCGCCTGAGCAACAGGAAGGAGGTGGAAGGGAGGGCAGGACCTCACATGCCGCGCGAACGCAGCTAGCTTGCCCTCGCCCCCCTCTCCCTCCAACCCCTCGCTCCCCTCCCCACAGATTGCCTTTTGCCTGTTGGCTGTAGTGTCGGGAAGACGCAGCCCTAGCCCCCCCCCAGGGGCCAGTCGGCCCTGCGGGGGTGATCAGACTAGACAGCCAGGGTCAAGGGTGTGACCCGCTGCGGGGAGGAGATCTGTAACGGATGAAATAAGGACGAGACGGGCGAGAGGAGGAGGGAGGCACGAGGGGACGCACCCCCTCCTCCTCCTCCTCCTCCTCCTCCTCCTCCTCCTCCTCCTCCTCCTCCTCCTCCTCCTCCTCCTCCTCCTCCCTCCTCCTCCTCCTCCTCCTCCTCCTCCTCCTCCTCCTGGTCCTGGCAGGCCTCACCCTCCCCATCTGCTTCCCCATCTCCTCTCCCCTCCCGCCCCCCCCCCACACCGCCGCGCCTTCCTCCCCGCGCGGGCCCGAGGCCAGTTGCCACGGCCAGTCTCCCCCGTGCGCGCCCCCCCATCCGACGAGCTCCCTGGGCCGCGGCGGCGACGACGCCGAGGAGAAGTCGGCCGCATGGGCCCCTCGGCCCACCTGGGGGTCCTTGTGCTTTTCCTGGCCTCCCGCCTGGGGCCACCCAGGCGCACACTGCTGGGCCGAGGCGCAGATGCGCGGGTGGACGGGCCGAAGTCGGGCGCTGCTGGCAGCGCCCCTGGCCCGAGGTGCCCCCAGGATTTCCAGGGGGGGGCCCGTAAAAAAAAGTGAACGCCCCAGGGGTCCGTTCCCGTTCCCGTTCCCGTTCCCGCCCTCCCTCTCTCTCTCTCTCTCTTGTTCTCTCTCTCTCTCTCTCGCTCTCTCTCTCTCTCGCCCTCTCTCTCTCTCTCTCTCTCTCTCTCTCTCTCTCTCTCTCTCTCTCTCTTTCTCTCTCTCTTCTCTCTCCTCTCTCTCTCCCCCTCCCGCTCTCTCTCTCTCTCTCTCTCTCTCTCTCTCTTTCTCTCGCGTCCAGGGGGTCCCTGGAACCGAGATCGAAGAACCGCATATCCCCAAATCTTGCAAAAGTCATAAGGACATTAATAATTGCAGGCCCCTTGCACCCTGAAAGGGGGGTCAAGAGGGAGGCCCAAGAAAGGCCGCGAACGCTTGGAGGCTTGTTGGGCTCTCCTGAGAGGCCTCGCGGGGGCCTCTTAGAAACATGTATCAGATGTCTTGGGGCCCGCTGAGGGCTTCTTGGGTACGTCAGAGGGGGTGTCTTGGGAGACGCCTACGGCGAATCATCGCCGCCCCTTGCCTTTCGGAAACGCCTATGCGGCCAAGCGGTGGGGCAAAGTTTGGCCAAGGTGTTGGACCTTGTTCCCCCAGCCGAAGTGTGGGCATCTTGAGTCCATCTTGGAGGCCATGCTGGACGTCCTGGAGGCCACACTGGACCATCTCAGCAGTCATTAATACCATCTCTTACGTGTCTGGGGCCATCTTGGAGGCAAACTTATCCGTCTTGGAGGCGATCTTGGCCGTCGTGGAGGCCATCCCCAGCCTAGCCCAGCCCACCCAGCCAGAAGTTCGCAGAGGAATGCAGGAATGGTTCTCTTAATGCACTCGAGTATATATATGTGCAGGATGACCAACTCAAAGTTCCTTGCAAGAAGAGCACCAACCAACTGAAATAATAGGGGGAACATCAAACAGCTAAGGGAAACCAGACCATTCCGTAGCCAGTGTGGCTCAAGGTTTGGCTATGCAGTCCTTTATTTGAGCAGTTACTTGCAAAGGGTACCGTGTGTGGACCTTGTGTTGGGTTCTTTGATGGCAGTCGTTGACGCAGAAGCAGGTGCTGGGCAGTCTCTAGGGCGCCTGGAGTCTGAGAGCGCAAGTAATGTGAAAATCAAGATGTCCGATGTTAAACAGAATACTGTGAATACAGATGTTTCGCCACAATCCACGACTTCTTGTTGCGCTCTTTTCATTGCAGAAAAAATGGCAGAGTTCAATGGATGTCAAATTCGGGCCCTCTTGGAGCCCTCTTGGAGGTCTCTTGGAGCCCTCTTGGGGCGCCCCTTGGGCGCCTCTTGGGCCGTCTTGAGTTGCCTCTTGGGCCGTCTGGGGATCCTCTTGGGCCGTCTTGGGGCCATCTGGGGGGACTCATTGCGAGCAGTCTACAACGCCCACTCCGTGCAGGCACGGTGGCGGCTTTATACGAAGATGCATACGCGGGCGCACGCGCAGGGTTACTTTGCCACTCTAGTTTCTGCACAGCTCGAGGGGGGGCTAGCCATCTCACTCTCTCTCTCTCTCTCTCTTTCTCTCTCTCTCTCTCTCTCTCTCTCTCTCTCCGCATTGTATTCCCAATTGCCTTACACAATATGTATATATACATAGATTTCTCCTCTGGACATACAACTAATATATGGGTCCTCCGTCCTTTGATGTTACCCTCTCTCTCACAACTCTTTCTCTCTCTCTCTCTCTGTGTCGTTCCTTAGTTTTCCTCTCTCTCTCTTCCTCTTGTTCCCCCCATCTCCCTCTCCCCCTCCCTCCCTCTCTTCACCTCTCCCTGGTCGTCGCTGTCGTCGTCGCGGCCGTTCTCGTCCTGCTTCGGATCAACACATCCTCCCCTTCCGCCTCCCTATGTCGCTCCTCCGTCCACTTCTGGCCCATTGCCAGTTCTCCCCTCTCTGAGCCCCTCTCTGCGTTGCCCAGCTACGACGCTGTTGCAACAGTGTGCAACAGCTTCAGGTCTGGTAGGGGGGTCCTTTTCAAACCGGGACTCTCGCGATGGCGCCGCGCACATTCGATTCAGCATGTTGCAAGAGCTTCAAAGACGAACCGCAGGTCGTTTTCACAGTGTGGCGTTCGTTTGAGACGCCGTGCACATTCGTATCAGAGCTCGTAGCCCCTAAAAAGATGGAGGGTGGTTCTTTTTCATCAGGCATCCCTCGCGTGCGACGCCCTCCGCCTGAAGGACTCAAAGCCTCGACGCGTGCATCTCTGCACAAATCGAGGGCAATATTTTTTCAACACTGGGCCACTGCTCGAGACCCCCTCTTCGCCTATGGTCGGAGGGAGGAGGAGGGAGGAGGGAGGGAGGAGGGAGGGAGGAAGGAGGGAGGGAGGAGGGAGGGAGGAAGGAGGGAGGAGGGAGGAGGAGGGAGGGGAGGGGAGGCCCCTGGGTCCCTCCCTCCCTCCTTGTCCTCTCCTCTCCCTCCCTCCCTCCCTCCCTCCCTCCCTCTCCCTCCTCTCCTCCCTCCCCCTCCCTCCCCTACCTCCTCCCCCTCCCTCCTCCTCTCGCCTCCTTCCCCCCCGCCTTCCCCCTCTCCTCCTCCTCCCTCCTCCCTCCCTCCTTCTCCCTCCTCATCCCTCCTCTCCTCTCTCCTCCTCCTCCCTCCTCCCTCCCTCCTCCCTCCTCCTCCCTCCTCCCTCCCTCCGTCCCTCCCTCCCTCCTCCTCCCTCCTCCCTTCTCCCTCCCTCCCTCCTCCCTCTCTATCCTCTGGAAGTGGCACGGGCGGCGGGAACGGGAACGGGAACGGGAACGGGAACGGACCCCTGGGGCGTTCGCGCGCCTTGACAGGGGGGCCCCCACGGCCTCCAGGGCACCCCCTCGCGGGGCCCAGAGGGCCCCAGGGGCTCCAGAGTGGAACGACAAAGCTGGGGGCACCTTGGGCCAGGGGGCACCTCCAGCAGCCCCCGAAGAAGGCCGCGCCGCAGGCGATCCTGCTGCTGCCCTGCCCTGTTCTGCCATGAGGTGAGATGCTCGAGGAGGGCAAGCCACGGCGTACGGTGAGAACGGCTGGTGGGGACGCGGGGTAGGGATACAGGCCCCTTGGGAGCGCACGGCGAAGCTGTTCGACAGGGGCTGGCCGTCGAAAGGGGTCGAGGACGGGCCGAGGAGGCACAGGGTACCCTCGGGAGGGCTACCCAGCCTTGCGATCGAGTTCTGTAGGCATACACCTTCGAAGATCTGCGCGGACTTCTGGCATCTACGCTGGACACCCCCCCCTCCCTGGAGCGCGGAGCGCTCCAGGGGCGGCGTCGGTGGCGCCGCCAGGGGCGGTCCAGCGCGGCCCTCCGACAGCTGTTTCTCCTTTGATTTCCGCATCATTCGGAGCAGTGCTCCGAAACTGCTTCGAGCGGCTTTGAACGATGCACACCGTTCAAGGCAGTGCCACAGCACTGCGCTGAAGCGTCCGCCTGATGAGGGCCTTTGGACTGCGGGGCGCTCTGACGGCGGCGTGTGGACTAATCCGTCTTCGGGTCATAACTCAAACCTCCAGCGACCGCTCGGGACGATCCAAGCACCCCCCGGAACGCCCTCGGCAAGGCGCGACTGCCGGAAAGCATCCCGAGCCTGGCAAGCCGCCGGAGACCGACGAGAACAATCGAAAACCTCCGAGGGAGAGAGGGACCTGGATGATTTTCTCAATACGGGGTCCCTGGAAGTCCTGGACCCCTTCCCCGGGGCAAGATTTTCATCCCGAGTAATTTGTTGACGATCCAGGGACCCAGCAAGGGCGCCCCGACAGAGCCGCGACCCCGCGGACACGGGGCGCCTTGCTCGCGAATGCCCCGCGCGGAACGTACCCGTGCGACAGCGCATCCGCGGGATCGCGCCCCAGAACCAAGGACCGCGAGGGAATAGAAATGGACACGTTCGCCACTCGTGAAAATTGACCGAGCCAGGTGGCGACATCCGAACCCTACCCCCACCAACCGTCGATTCTTCTGAATCGATGAGAGGCGGGGGTAGGGTTCGGATTTCCCCACGCGCTCGACGATTTCCGAGCGCTATCCCCGCCACCCATCGAGGTGCATGACTCTTCGACCGACGAGGGTAGACATCGTTCCTTGGACACGCTCGCTGCTCGTGAGGAGGGACACGCCCACGAAAACGCCCGCGCGCCAGCCCACGGGGCGCCCCCGACGGCGGCGGCAGCTCGAGAGGGGGAGGGAGGGAGGGCGGGAGGGAGGGAGGGAGGGAGGGAGGGAGGAGGATAGGGAGGAGGGAGGGGGATAGGGAGGGAGGGGAATAGGGAGAAGAGGGAGAGGGAGAAGGAGGGAGGGAGGGAGGACAGGGAGGGCGCGAGGAGGGAGTAGGATGGGGAGGAATGTGAGGAATTGGCTCACTGGTGTACTGGTTGATGGGTGCATGAGGGTGGAGGCACGTCTGGACCCCTCCCTGCAGGGGAGGGAGGAGGACAGGGGAGGGAGGCAGGGAGGACGGGGGAGGAAAAGAAGGAGGCGAACCGACGAAGACCTCCGCGCGCCACCCCTCCGCCGCGCCGCGGCGCCTCGGGCATCCGCGGGGCCTCGGGCACCCGCGCGCGCGCGGCCGCGGCCGCGGCCTGCGCCGCGGCCTCGCGGTAGAGCTTCTCGAAGACGGTCTCGGCGCCGCCGCACCGGCGCCTCCTCTGGAAGGCACAGGGACGTACAACCCCTCCGTGCAAAAAGCAACTGGTGCTTTCCTGCACACCTCCCGCCCCCACCAGCCCCCCAATTTCAATGTTCAACGCGGTGCAGATTTTTTGTCGAACTTCGCTGGTCGCGCGATCAGCATTGAAATGGGGGGCTGGGGGGCTCACCAAACACCAGTGACTTTTCGCACAAGGGCATACTAGTACTAGGTGTCCTCCTTGGGCAGCGCGCGTCCGACCCGAACCTATGATAGACCCAGCTTGTGATGCAGCGTTTCCCGAGCGGTATGGCCGGAAAGCGCCCGCCACGACGCACATACTGTAAGATTTCCCGGCGCGCGCGTCGCCCTGGGGGGGGGGGGCGACGCACATATAGTGTTGGTATGTTGGGGTGACGCCGATCCTCGCCAGTTGAGCGCGTAGCGACTTATGCCGTCCCTCGACTCGCGCTGTGGATCGGTCACGACTTCCCCTCTCCAAGTTGTCCCTGGAGAGCTCTCTGGCTTCACCTGGATCTGCCACGGCTCACCTGGATTTGCCTCGATCTATCTGCGTCTACCTGGATTTATCTGGCTGCATCCCCACAAGCGGCGAAAGTCGTCAAGCCCTTAAGGACTCGCAGCGGCGCGCGCGCATACTTCCTCCTCCTCCTCCTCCTCCTCCTCCTTCTCCTCCTCCTCCTCCTCCTCCTCCTCCTCCTCCTCCTGGTCCTCGACCTCGTCCTCCTCCTACTCCTCCTCATCCTACTCCTCCTCCTCCTCCTCCTCCTCCCCCTCCTCCTCCTCCTCCTCCTCCTCCTCCTGCTCCTCCTGCTGCTCCTCCTCCTGCTCCTCCTCCTGCTCCCCCCTCCTCCTCCCCCTCCTCCCTCTTCCTCCTCCTCCTCCTCCTCCTCCCCCTCCTCCTCCTGCTCCTCCCTCCTCCTCCTCCTCCTCCTCCTCCTCTCCTCCTCCTCCTCCTCCTTCTCCTCCTCCTCCTCCTCCTCCTCCTCCTCCATTCCTTTTCCTTATGAAAAGCTCCTCCCTGTCGTCGCACCCCGAGGCCAATCGGGAGGGCACGCAGGGCATCCCGCCTGAGATTCCTCACAAAATATGAGCCTGAAGCCTGGAAACCGGCACCAGCTTCACAGAGGGAGGGCGGGTCGTTTTCAAAACGCGGCTCTCGCCTCAGCGCCGCGCACACTCGTCTTAACAATTTGCAAGAACTTCACGGATTGAGGACATGTCGTTTTCAAAATGTGGCTCTCGCCTTAGCGTGCGCACACTCGTTGGAAAAAATGCAGCAGCAAGTTTCACGGGTGGAGGACAAGTGGCTTTCAAACTTTAGCTCTCGTCTTAGCAACGCGCACATTCGTTTTACAAAAACTGCAAGAGCTTCACGGATTGAGGGCGGCACGTTTTCAAAATGTGGCTCTCGCCTTAGCGACGCGCACCTTCGGTATTCAAAAATGCAAGCGCGTCCCGGCTTGAGGGCGGGTCCTTTTCAAGATGTGGCACTCGTCTCAGCGCCGCACACTTTTGTTTCACATACTTGCCCAGAAGGTTCACATATTCTCATGGTTAACGTACCAGACATGGCGTTTAGGAGCGATACAGGCCTGTCAGGGCGCAACAGTTACGTTGATTCGCGGTCTTGGAATCCCAGGAACGGTGTTCCCGCACGATTCAGGATCGTCAAAACGCAACGGTCAGTTTGACTTGTGGCGCTGAGTTTATGAGAATAGAGTTTTGGTGCGCTTCAGAATTTTGACACGATTGTATCCCAACGGGGCACGGCCCCCAGAGGAAAGTCATGCTTGTACGGGTGTATGAAGAGGAAACTTAAAGGCAGGTTAAATTCCAACATCGTGGTTGAGTCTTGGGCTTACACCTGTTCATCTACCTCCTCCTCCTCCTTTTCCTCCTCCTCCTCCTCCTCGTCTTCCTCCTGCTCCTTCTCCCTCCTCCTCCTCCTCCTCCTCCTCCTCCTCCTCCTCCTCCTGCTCCTCCTCCTCCTCCTCCCCCTCTTCCCCCCCAATCCTTCTCCTTACGAATAATTCCTCCCTGTCCCCCGAGGCCAGTCGAAGGGCGGGCCGGACGTTTCGCCTGCGACTTCCTTACAATTTGCAATCCTGGGTCGGAAAGATTGACAGCAGCTTCACAGATGCAGTGTGGGTCGCTTCCAAAATGCAGCTCTCGCCTGACCGTCACCCACAACACTTGGAAAAAATAACCTGACATCGCGGATTGGTGGCGGGCAATTTTCAAAATGTGACTCTCGCTTTGGAACCACGCACATTCGTCCTCAAACGTCGCAAGCGGTTCACGGATTGAGGGCGGGTGCTTCCAAAAACTGGCTCTCGCCCTAGCGCCGCGCACATTCGTTTCACCACGTTGCCAGAGGTTCACGGATTCTCACGAGCAACCTACCAGAAATGGTGTACTGTACCGATTCAGGGCTGTCACGGCGCAGCAGTTACGTTGATTCGCGACGGTGGAATCCCAGGAACGGCGTTCTCGCAGGATTTAAGATCATCAACACGCAACAGTCAGGTTGATTAGTGGCGTTGGGGTCCCTCCTCCTCCTCCTCCTCTTCGTCCTCCTCCTCCTCCTCCTCCTCATCCTCGTCATCCTCTCCCTCCCTTCCTGTTCCTTATGCTTCTCCCTATCGCACCCCGAGGCCAGTCGGAAGGGCGGGCTGGGCGTTTCGCCTGAGACTTCCTTACCATTTGTGAACCTGAAGCTTAAAAACTGATATTAGTTTCACATGTGGAGGGCGGGTCGCTTCCAAAATGTAACGCCACACACACTCGCTTTAGCAATTTGCAAGAGCGTCACGGATTGAAGGCGGGTCGTCGTTTTCGTCGCCGTCGTCGACGCCGTCCGTCGTCGTCGTCGCCGTCGTCGCCGTCGTCATAGTAGTAGCCGTCCGTCGTCGTCGCCGCCGTCGTCGTCGCCGTCGTCGTGGCCGTCGTCGCCGTCCGTCGCCGTCCTCGTCCTTCTCGTCGCCGCCGTCGTCGTCGTCGTCATGGCCGTCGTCCTCGCCGTCGGAAGGCCCCCTCTGGGAAGCCGCGAAGCTTCCCTGGGGGCCGCCCCCCCTAGCGCCGTCCCTCCCCCAGATGCGCAGCGCCGGTCCTCGTGGGCGCCGTCCCGATGGAGCTCGCCGCCTCGGAGCAGTCCACGCTCAGCTCGCTGTCGCTGCCGGAGCCTCACGGGCGACCCAAACCAGCTCACGCCATGAACAAACACGACGGGAGGTCTTCCGCTATTTTCGGCCTCCAGGGGCCCTCGCCCGGCCTGGGGACCGTCAAACAACGACTCAGGGCGAGAAGCCCGTCTCGGGGAAAAGGTCCAGACCTCTGGGGATCGACGCAATGAAAAAATCACGACGTCGGGGGTCTGGGGACCGAGCGGGCCCACGCTAAGACGAAGCCAGGGCGAGGATAAACTCGGGTGGGGGCAATGAAGTCGATCATATCTGAGATCCTGCGCCGGGACAAATACATACTGTACCCAAAATGCCCTAGGGTTGGGCGGGGGTCGTGGTCGTGGGTTTGGTATACACAGTGCCCTCCCTGGGGTGTGGCTTTTGTACTAAACGTAGCCCCGCGAGATGGAATCTGATTGAGGCGGGAAGGATGCCGTATACAAAAAAATATCGAGGAGATCCGCAAAATGTCTCGGGCGCCGCGGCCTTCTCAAACTCGAAGCGTTCCGGAACGCTCTGAGAGCGTTCTGGAATGCTCTGGAACGGCTTTATCCTCGTCCTAGCCACGTCCGACACGTGCCCGTGCCCTCGCGGCCTGGACGCCGAGGCCGCGGCTCCGCGGGCACGCGACCCGGCCCTAGACCTGCTCGCGGCGTGGCGAGATCACGACGAGCGGATGTTGGCCGCTTCCGGCCTCTGGGGGCCCTCGCTGGGCCCCGGGACCGTGAGAGCACGACTCGGGAGGCGAAACTGGCCCAGGGGAGGGGGTCGGGATTTCCGAGGACCCCGCACCGAATTGGCGGCGAGCGCGGGGGGGAAGTGAGAAGGGGCGGGCCTTCTCAGGAGGCTCGGAAGTCCCCAGGCATTCTGAGAAGTTTTCTGAGTCTTCCCCGAAGACGAAAAAAAAGACAAACAACAAAAAAAAAAAAAAAAAAAACTCGGAAGGGGCGAGGGCTCCTGAGAAGCCCCGCCGCCTTCTGAGAAGGTCTTCTCCTTCTCACTCCCCCCCCTCGCTCGCCGCCGACTCCCCCTGGATTTTTCGGCTTCGCGCGTGTATCTCTCGCCAGATGATCCAGGATGTTCCTCGATGGTCCTCGCCCCCAAAAATGCGCACGCCCGAGCGGTGCCACTTCCGGGGACTCCGCGTCGAAACCATCGAGACCTTGGATGCCGGGGGCGGGCGCAAAATCCCACGGACACGCGGCCCCGATGGCTCCGCTCCGCGCGGGGCGCAGCCCGGGGGGAGCCGCCCCCACCGCCCGTGGGGCCGCGGCCGAGCGAAGCCGAGGAGCCGCGACGGGCCGCAGGCGTGGAGCCGCCGCTCGGCTTCCGTCCCGCGGGGAGCCCGCGCAGCTGGCCTCCGAGGCCAGGCAGCTGCCGTCGCTCTCCTCGGGGCAGATAAGCCGAAGCCAGGTCGAGGACAGAATCGGGGGAGGGTAAATCGAGCATCTCTGAAATGCGGGGACTCTGGGGGATGTCTCGGGCGCCGCGGCCTTCTCAGAGCGTCCCGGAACGCTCCGAGAACAATCTGGAGCGCTCTGGAACGGATTCATCCTCGTCCTAGCCCCGTCTGGCAGGGCGAGCTGAGATAGCGGCGGCTGAAAATCGATCCCAGGACCCCTCCCCGGGTCCAATCGCACCCAGACTTCGAGAGAAATGTGGCTCTCGCCTCAGCGCCGCGCACGTCCGTTTCCAAAGCTTGCAGCCGCTTCAAGGATGGAGGGCGGGTCGTTTACAAAATGTGTCTCTCGCCCTAGCGCCACGCACGTTCGTCTTAAAGCGTGCAATAGATCAAGAGATGGAGGGCGGCTCGTCTTCGAGGTGCGTCTCTCGCCTCAGCGCCGCGCACATTCATCTTACAAGTGCGCAACCATTGGAAGGACTCGTAGGGCTGAAGTCCCAGGGATGGCGTTCAGGCACGATTTTGCCAGAGCGCAATGCGTATAGAATACTCCGTAGATCTACAAATCCTTCTTCGCGTTGCTCGTAGATTCGACGGAAAATCAATCTGGGAAGAAAAATTGATTCCCAGACCCCCGACGCCGTGATTTTTTCATTGCGTCGACCCCCAGAGGTCTGGACCCCTTCCCCGGGACCGGTTTTTCATCCCGAGTCGTTTCTGGACGGCCCCGAGGCCCGGTAAGGGTCCCCAGATGCTAACAATACTGAGCATGAGTATCGTTTGTCCAATCCCCATCCCCAGCGGCGTGGCCTGGGCCCCACTGGCCGATATACCCCCCTAGGTGGGGATATAGGCCGTCCCCTTCGGGTTTCGAGGGGTGTATCCCCAGCTGGGGAGGTAATTTGGTGGGGGTCTCGAAGGGGATGGGGATGGGGATGGGGATTGGTTAAACGATACCGACCAAAGACTCAAAATACTGAAGAACTTCCCGTCGTGATTTGTTCATGACTGCACGAGGTCTGGGTTCGGCCCTCTCGGGGAGGCCTCCTGGAGCCCTCTCGGCGCGTGCTGCTGGCTTCTTGGGCCGTCCAGAGGCCATCCTGAAAGCTTCAGAGCCATCTTGGAGGAGGAGGCGTATGCGGAGGAGGCGGAGGAGGAGGAGGAGGAAGTACTTGGAACTCTCTGCTACACCAGAAGGAGGTCCGGGGCGCCCCCCTCCGCTCTCCTCCGCCTGCGCGAGCGCCCCGGGCGGCACGCGCCGCTCGGCGGCCCTGGGCAGCGTGTCGGCCAGCGCCGCCAGCCAGCCGAAGTCCGCGGCGGTGACGCACGGCCGCGCGTCCCTGCCGGGACGCAGACGACGACGACGACGACGACGACGACGACGGCGACGACGGCGACAACGGCGACGACGACGACGAAACCACTGCACACCTATGCGAGCATTTGTTCTAAATGTAAACGTTTTCTTATTCGGCGCTTCGACATTGAGCGGAAGGGGGGGTTCTGGCTCTGGACGCACAGAAGCATACTAATACTGTATGTCATCCCTGGAGGCGCGCGTCCAACCCGAACATATAGTAGACCCGTCTTGTGGTACATCGTTTCCCGAGCGGTTTGGCCACAAGGCGCCCGACACAACGCATGTACTATAGATTTTTCGGTGCGCGCGTCGCCTCTGGACGCACATATAGTAGAAGTGTGGTGGGGTGACGCCGAGGACATGCGAGCATTCGGTCTACATGTAAAAGTTGTCTTATTCGGCGCTTCGACATTGGGCGGAAGTGAGGGGGACTGGCTCTGGACCTCTGCTGAGTGCGACTGTTTGCAACAGTGCGTCCGATGGGGGAGACTCCACCTGCTCGAAACAGGCGTTCAAAACAGCCAAGATCTACTCCACAGGGGGGGGAGGGGGGGGTGCAAGGGCCCGCGCCGATCGGCAAAACAATGAATAAAAAAACGACGATGTTTCTACATTATATATGTTATATCTATGTGTTATGTTTTCTGTTGTTTGAAGAACATACTAATACGATGTGTCCTACTTGGAGGCGCGCGTCCGACCCAAACACATGGTGTAGCCATCTTGCAGTCTGTCGCTAGAGAGCGCGCGCGCGTCGCTCCCGAGGGGGGAGGGGGCGACGACGCACACAGAGAGCATTTCGTACATCTTGGGATCGGCGCCGACCTGCCGCTGCTGCACAGCATGCGGAAGAGGGCGTCGGCCTCCTGGAAGCCCTCGGCCAGCCGTCGCGAGCACACGCGCCTCTCGTGATTAACCAAAAGAGGACCCCTAACCATTTTGGGAGGGGACCTGAGATAGGAGGGCCAAAAACACTGGGGCTAGGGGGTCTCTCTGGCAGATGTACCGAACCGAACCACCCAGAACTATGATCCCTGACGCGAAGGCAAGGACCTCAGTGAGGCCACGCCTTCATCGCGTCATCGGGACCAGGGGCTCTTTCGCTCTCGATGATCTCCGGGGGCCCCCCGACCCAGTGGCGACCCCGCCGCGCGCGGTGGGTCCGTGGGGCTTCGGGGCCACCGCACGGCTCTTCGAGGGCGGGGGGGCTCGGGCTGTGCTCCGAGAGGACGCCCCCCGGGAGACCAGATGGGCCTCCCCCGAAGGCCCCGAAGCACGGCGCGGTGACGGAGCCCCGAGGCGAGGCCGGCGGCTGCGAGGCCACCCGCGCGGTCCGTCACCACACAGTGCCGGGGCCACCACGCGGTCCGTCGCCTGGAGTCGGGCCTGTCCTCCTACAGGGGGAGGCTTGGAGGAAAAATACCCCAAAGATACAAATATATATAATACACTATATTTATATATATACTATTAATTAATATATATATATATATATATATATATATATATATATATATTATGTATATATAAGAGAAAAAAAAAAAATGAACAGTCCAAAAATACCCCAAAAATGGCAAAAAGATGCGCCAAAGAATCGTCACCAACTCCTCCTGTAGAGGGACAGGCCCGACTTAACCGTCGCCGCACGGTTCTGGGACGCCCGAGTAGTGGGAGCGGGCGCGCTGAGGCACCAGTGCCGCTGGCTCGCCGGGCCTCCCCCGAGAGCTGGGCGTCGCAACTCTCGGGCGTTGCAGCCTGGGTCCAGGGCCCGCGACCGTCCAGGTTATCGATCTGGCTCGAAGCACACGTGCAGCAAAGAGATGGGGTCTAGGGATCCGATCGTGAATTTTCGCGATCCTGCAACTTTTTGTTGCGTTTCTGCGATGTTTCGACTCTCCGCAATGAAACGGAATGAATTCCAAAAAGGCGGGGGGCGAGGGAATGGCATCAGCATCGGTCAGCCTGCCCGCAATTCAAGGTCCTCTCAAAATCGGCCCCAGACTTTTCCCGCGGGGTCCAACCCAGCCAGATTCTCCAGCTGCGTCTAGCCGAGAAAAGCCCAAACTTCGACGCCGTCGACGCCGGTACCCAGACATCCGGCGCCATGATTTTTTCCAATACGGGGCCACAGAAAGTCCCAACCCTTCACCCAGGACCGACTCATCCCGAGACATTATGTTGACTGTCCTGGGGCTGGGTGAGGGCCTCCACAAGCCGAGAACGGCCGCCAACAGTTTTCCGTCATGATGCTGCCACGACGCGATCATGTCTGGGTCGACGTCGTCGTCGTCGTCGTCGTCGTCGGTATCGGTGTGCTTCTCTCTCCCTGCCGAAATGCCTGCAGAAGTCGGCGTGCCGCAGGCGCCTGCCGCCGTGGACGCCCAGCCGCGCGGCGGCCTCCTGGACGCCCCCGCAACGGCGCGAGAGCCGGCCGCAAAACTTCCCGAGCGCCTCTGCGGACGACGACGGCGACGACAACGACGCCGCCAACGACGACGACGACGACAACGACGACGACGATGACGACGACGACGACGACGACGACGACGACGACGACGACGACGACGACGACGACGGCAACGACGACGGCGGCGACGACGACGGCGACGACGACGACGACGACGACGCCGGCAACGACGAGGACGACGACGACAACGACGACGACGACGGCGACGACAGCGACGACGACGGCGATGACGCCGACGACGACGACGACGACGACGACGACGACGACGGCGACGACGACGACGACGACGACGACGACGACGACAGCGCACCGAATACAGGATGAATACGCGCCTAATACGGGCACGGAGGTCGGCCGACTTCCGTACCCGAGCTTAAACGGCAGTGGAAAACGAAAACAATAAAACCGGCAAAACAGACAATGCAATATGGAGACCTACCGTTCGAGTCTGGTGCTCAAACGAGTCTGCCTATGCCCCGTCGGCTACAACGCGCAAGCCGTGCCGCAGCCAACGAAACCTCATGAACAATTGCAGCGGGATGTGATACCTTGATTCCGGCAAGCTCCGGGAGTTGCCGCACTTCGCGTCGCACCCAGGTACCTCAGGCCCCAAAGTGCCAACCCCATTGAAAGATTCTACGGCACACGACAACTACTGGCTCCTGAGCATGCCGAAGCAGGCTGACGCATCCCGAGAAGGAAGGCGAGCCTAAACAGGGGCCTTCTACTGACCAGGTCCCTCATAGCAAATTACAAGCGGAACGGGAGAGCAGACAAGTGGAGGAGCACAGTAACGCGCTGGTCACAAACACGGACCGAATCAAGAACTACACACATGTTTGCGAGATCGGCTCACGGCATCGAGCAAATGGCAGACCGCCATGCAGGTTTGCAGCACTTGCCGCGGCACGGCGCCCCTCATGCCGCACCCCGCCCCATCCCCCCTCTCGAAGGACCCGCCCCCATACAAGCTGATCTCGCCCGCGCTTTCCACGGGCAGCAAGATGACGCGCGCCCTGATTTTCTCCATGGCGAGGACCCCAGAGTCGAGTTGCATAACGGTCGCGGAAGCAGATCGTTCTTGGCCGTTTTGCATCGCCACAACGCACGCTGCCACGCGGTGCTGGACAGGGCGCAAGCGACTGCCCCAAAAAGGAAACGAAGAGGTCGGGTAGCTGACCTCCCGCAGGCTCGTCGGCCGCCGCTTTGACCAGGTCGAAGTGCCTGATCGGCATCAGGACATCGATGCACTCGACGCAGACGAGCGCCGCGGCGCCGTCGGCGCCGCGGTTTGGTGAACACCGTCGAAGGCGAAGTCGTCGCAGTTCCCCTTCATCTTTCCAAAGAAGTTCGCAATGTGGCGACGAGCTTATCAACGTGCTCCTTTAGCCTATCACTCTTCAGATCATCAACGCGCTTGGACAACATGAGCACAACTTTCAGTCGCCAGCAGCACGGCTGCCAGACGCTCTATGCTTGACCTCGAGCTCCGGGCCCCACCCGGCGGGTTTCGCGCCGCACTCCGGTGAACGCGTGACCTCGGCGAGCTTCATAGAGAAGGATCGGGCGCGCCCTTGCAGCCCGCACCCAGCCTGCACCCCTTGCACCAGCACTGAGTCCTCACGTCGAAGGACTCGCAACCAGGCACCTGCCTGAGGATAGCTACACAGCTGGGAGGCAGCCCAAAGTCCCCTTGCGTGGTTCTTCACCTTGCTCCTGCATCTCGGCGCGCGCCATGCACTGCGGGACTGCCTTCCCGACGTCCGCGGCGTTTGCTGTTCCCGTGAAAGTCTCCAAGGCGCCGGCGCCCATGTCGCTGAAGCCTCTATGCGCCGCGCGGCACCGGATGATCCGCGCGGTTTTGCCGTGGAGACATTTGCGGTGCTTCCACTTGAAAACGCGCCTGGAGTCCACGACGTTTCGGACGCCTTGAGTGGTCGCCGATCGAAACATTTGCATGTGACCCAGAGGGGGGCTCCTCGAGGATGGCTGGGGACCCCTCCTTGGACAGCCTAGACACCTCTTCCTCGGACAGGAGATCGGCGTCGCGCTTGATGACCGCGGTCTTGACGGCGGCGCACACGTCAAGCACGGCTGCGCAGGAATCTCGCTGAAGCTTGGAATGCTTCGCGGGCCCCTGGGTCGAGGTACAACACCACGCGTATCCCTCGTTCGTCCTCCTCCTCTAGCGTGGCGTAATCGTCATGGGCGGCGCCGCGCAGGTAGTAGAGGCACTGCGCGTAGCTGCCTTGACGCTGGCGCTGCGTCTCGAGGCGCCGGGGCGACTCGCCTGGCTGGCGGCCAAGGCTGGCCGCAGCGTGCTCGACAGCAGCGTGGATAATTTGCCGGCTGTCGTCGCTCTCAAGCGCCTCAGACTCCTGCGTTTGGCCTTCTGCCCCTCCGACTTCATGCCACGCTGCCAACATCCAACGCCACCCGGTGGATGTGGCTGGAGAAATCGCTGCGAGTCTCCTCAGGCATGGCCGAGAGTGCTGATGGAGATCTTCCCCCAGTGGTGCTGACAGCGTCCTCAGGAGCGTCGATGACAGCTGTCAACGAACACCCAATCTTGATCCTCTCAAGTGTCTGCTGCCATAAGCGTATTGTCACCCAAGACAATCTGCACGATGCAAGAGTCCTCCCACTGCTCGCCGATGAGCACGCGGGCCTCGAACTTGACGCCATCCAAATGAATCTGCAAAGTGTCACCTAGACTCTGTGTCCGGCCAATCACCCACAGGTTTCTGGCCGCCCAGTAAAGGTGCGGCACGAACGTCTGGCAGCTGATAACGCCTGCGGGATAGATGGCGCAGAGCTTCGAGGATGCCTGGGCGTTGCCGCGTCTGCGCGGTCATCTTCGCGCCCCTTACGTCCTCACAGTGGCCGGAGGTCCTGCTGCTGGAGCCTGGCACGATGTGCTCGATGAACTCCTCCACTCGGTCCCCGGCCAGGCCAGCTCTAGCCGAGTCGGTGCCCACGTCGTCGAAGACGGCGCCGATGAAGGGCCCGACGTCCTGCAATCTGCAGATCACGTCGGCTCGGCGCTCGGCGGTACCTGACAGTTACACTGCCTCGAGCCGGATCGACAAAGACGACAGCCCCAGGCCCTACCCAGCCTGATACGTAGTTTGCGCTCAGGAGCCTGTGGATTTTCACCTGGTCGCAAGCATAGAGTCGAAGTTAGCTGCAATTGCGGCGTGAAGTGCATGGCGCAGCACGGCCAAGTCGTTCGATGAAGCGAGCGTGCGGACGAGGGAATCAGATATCCACCTGGACTCCTCGTCTCTTCATCGCAGCCCTCTCCGTCCACGACCAACGTCTCCATCGCGCCGAAGATTTGGACCCATGAACGGTCGATGGCTGCAAACAGCGTCGGGTCGCGTTTGGAGTCGAACTCCCGCCCTTTGCGCCGACGTGAGGCGCAGCAGATCAGACGCATGATCATGCGATCCCTGTATCAAAAGATATCGCACTCGACGTGCTGGTTGAATCGCGCTGGGAGTCGGAGTGGCGTGTCGGGGTCGTTCGGTGTCCTGGTGGGTGCCACTTGCGGCATTCCGTACAGTTATTGACCACTGCGGGTATGAGGTCGAGGATGTCGTGGGGAATGCTGGCTGCGAGTAGTGATCGTGCCATTTGTTTCTTGTGTGGCGCGCCACCATCAGGTGAAATTTGCGCAGCTCTCGCACGCGCGTCTCACGCGAGCCCCCACGCAGCGCACGCAGAAATATTGCACTTCGAAACAAGTCCTCGGAGTCGGATTGGCAACTGGTGCCTCGGTGGCTCGTCGCGCTGCTCGTCCCAGCACGTTCCCTGTAACTGGGTTGACGCGCAATCTCGGTCAAGGTACACAGTTACCCGAAGAAGCACTCTGCGGTCCAGCAGCAGAGTCGCCAGAACCGTTGCTCTGAACGCCAGCACTGGAGGACGAGCTGGCTCCTGGTGTACCTGAGGGTGGCGGTGGTAGAAAGGCTTTGTCAGCTGCTTCCAAGCCAGCTCCTCCACGTATCTGCGACTGCTGCTCGCTGGAGCGACGCGGTCCACCGGTCGCGCCGGCGCTCGCGGGCGTTGGCCAGCGCGCGGGCGCGGCCTGATGTGGAGGTCCACGAACCCGCATTTGCTGAACTCGTGCGCGCGCGTGCGCAGGGTGATCGCGTTCCTTTCCCTCGCGGCAGTCTGAGCACTCCCAGTGGATAGGACACTGTGAAAGCATCGACGCGGTGGGGCCCCTGGACTCCATGGGCGACTCCGCCCGCGCGTTGCGCCTGCACTCCTTGCACATATAGCGCGCGCGCGCTCGGCGGCTATCTCACTCCGGATCTGACCCTCTGCGGCTCCAGATGCCACGGCTGGAAGAACTGCTTCAGTGATATCGAACTCACGAAAATAATTCGTTTATGCGAAAGCCTGAGGCGGCGACGCGATTCCACAATAGCTTGCACAAGTCAACCGGCCAGCTTCCGGGGCCAAAGATGCACGTCGAAGGTGTTGTGGCCCTCGGCGCGGGCGCGCTGACGTGCATTCGGTTACTTGAGGGTGCCGAACTGCCCGTTGGTCTCCAAGAAGTCGGTGACGAAGTCCGCGGTTTTCCTCAATATACATACCACCATGCCGACCGGAGGGTTCCAGCACACACTGGTCGAAGACGACATTGCCCGCGCCAGGTGCTGCAAGCACGTCTGGCCACGGCGGTTCGCGGCACGCCCACGACAGGTCGGGATGTTCGTCGACGAAATAGTTGCCCAACTCCATCTGTAGTCGTGATATGCGGCCGCAAAACCGTCCGCGCGGGACCGCGTCCTGGTTGTAACGCAGCCACGCGTCGTAGTTGAGCTTGTAGCTGCACGTCGCCCAGCGACTGACTGTCCCGCACGCGGGGGCCACGATGGCCACTGGAGGCCAGTGCTGTCGCAAGCACCTCTCCACGGCACGTTCTTGGCCTTCGTCGTTGAGGCCACAGCCAGCGACGAACTCGAAGTCCTCA